AGATTCTCAGTGCTGTGCTTTAACCCGCTGCGCCACCAGGGAGGGCCGTGGTGGGATAACTTTTAATTGTTTTTGGTCACCAGGAGTTTTTGTAATATTTGAAAGGTTTTTTAATACCAAAAATGTGATTATTACCACAAAATCAGATAATAAATTGAATTATCTTACTAAGAGTTTTACAGAATTATTCTTTCGGATATCCTACATTTATAGTCACATTGTCTATGTTCTTTCTCTAATAGGTTTATTTCAGTTTCAGTTTGATGTCTTATTTTTCTGACTGGTAGCCAGTTGCACATCAAACTAGATTAACAAGGATATGCAGAATAGCATAAAATGGTAATAATATCAGAAACCCATAGCTCACTTCTGATCTGAATGGAAATGAAGCCCTAGTTTCATCATCTATGAATTGAGAGAACTGAGATAGATTACACATAAAGTCCTCTCTGGGCATTCAGTTCTAGTTCTCATTCTGTAAGTATCTACTGTTCTCTCTCTACTCTCTAAATGTGACATGGTGGCAGTTTGTTTTTTAATACATTTGAACTGTCATATTTTTTATCCAAACTAAAAATCACGCTATGACTCTGTAGAATTATATAATAAAATTAGTTATACTCTGTATATATTTACTTATAGATTTTTCCTGTCATGATTTACTTGTCTGTATCCTGCACCTTAGTTCCTTTTATGTTCCTTTCTAGATCTTCTAATTCCATTTTCATTACCTCATCATCTATTCAAAATGTACTAGCACAAACAATGGACCAGATATCAGGCTTTAACTGTGACAGACAGGCAGTCAGTAATCAATGAAGAAACCTTAACACTCTATACCTTAATATCACCAGTTAGGACATTAACAGTGAGGTTAAGTGGCCAATTCAAGATCACAAAATAATTTACCACAGAACCAAGATGAGCGTTCTGGCACTTGGGTGTGTGAAATTAGTCAAAAGGAGAAAGACAAATATACTTACAAGTAGTAAATGGAGAAACCAAACAAAAGGTCAGACAAAGACAAACATTAAAACCAATCCTTGATGTGGAGAAAAAGGAACTCTCCTACACTGCTGGTGGGAATGCAATCTAGTACAACCACTATGGAAAACTGTTTGGAGGTTCCTCAAACTGCTAAACATGGAGCTTCCCTAC